GGGGGCTGGTGGTGACGGGAGGGCGGGGGGTCCCTCCGCGCTGCCCTCATGGCAGCCTCATGTCCTCAGGTCCGCCGCTGCCCGTGTCCCCCTCCATGGCTGACGAGGCAGCACCGGGGAGCCACGGCCTCCCGGTGGCCGGAGCGGGCTACCCCTGCTCCTGGCCTATCCCCCACATCATCCGCGGGGTTGAGGTGTGGGAGCTCGGGTGCAGCCGTGCGGGCCCATCCCAGGCCGGTATGTCACAGCCGCGAGCCGTCAGGCCACGGGCGGAATTTTTGTCCCAGGCTCATTTGGGGTGTCTTCATTTTGCAGCCCACTTTTTGTGCAGGAGGTGTGGGGTCCCAGGAAACACCCTGGAACATTGCCAGGTGCCAAAGTCCAACCCGGCTACACTCCCAGAGAACCTTTGCCTGCCACTGTTAGCCTAAACAAGCAACATTAAACAAACAATGTAAATAGCAAGAGCCTGTATTTATTTTATAGACCAATATTTCAGGTCCAGATGGCCTCTTCACATGCAGAGGTGTGACAGGGTGGAGGGACAGTGAGAGAGGGACTGAGGGGATTGAACAAGGAAGAAGTTAAGTTAGCAACTGATATAAGAACTGAGATAGGAATTGCAGAGGCTCCCACTCTTACTTTTTATAGAGCATGCCACATAGTTGAGCATATGTGTGTTCCACCTCCCACTCTGCGCAGAGTATTGCATAATATCACCATCTGAATTTATAGAATTAACTGTTTTAGAAGGAAGCAATGAATGCTGTTTTCCTTCATTTACAGTCCAACTGAAGATCTTTTGTCTCTTAACGTATGTTAGCCCAGAATCTGAGAGCAGCCGGTCTGACAGTCCGTTTTGCCTAGTACTCAGGTTGGACCAGAGCTTGTTGCAGTTTTAAAAGCAAAGGGAAACATTTTACTTACTGCTGAACAGTCTTTACATATCACCTTTGAAGTATATACTATGTATATATGATGTATACTTTGTTACATATATACTATTTACATATCAAAACTTGAAAAAAAATAAGCTATTCTTGTCTTGAAAAATAATATACCAAGGATTTAGAAATGAAGTCCCAATACTCTCACTGATTTACAAAGGATCTCACCCTACTGTATAACAGTATGGTCCCAGCCTTGAAGGATAAAAGAAGCCCAAACCAATCTGTAGCTGCATTTGCTTCCTGGTTAAACAGTAAATAAAATAATTTCAATAATCGATGTGCAACTTCAAAGGCAGAAAGAGCTGTGTTTGTTCAGCCTGGAAAAAAGAAACTTTGGAGTGACCTAATTGCAGCCCTTCAGTACCTGAAAGGAGCCTACAATAAGGATGAAGAGAGACTTTTTACAAGAGCATGTAGGGACAGGGCAATTTAGTCTGAATGGTTTCAAACTAAAAGGAGGTTTAGATTAGGTAATAGGGTAAAAATCCTTCTCTGTGACACTGGTGAGGCAGGTTGTCCAGGGAAGCTGTCACTGCCACATTCCTGGAATTGTTAAAGGCCAGGTTGGATGGAGGTCTGGGTAACCTGCTCTAGTGAAAGGTGTTCCACAGCAAGGGGCTACACATAGATGTTCAGCCCCCTCCAACCCAAGCCAATCTGTGATTTTCCTTCTTTATGTGGGAGTTTTAACTGTGTTTGACTTGATTTTTTTTTTTTTACTTTTTTTTAGTATGATCGACTTTTGCAAACTCTTGCATTTTTTACCTCAGTTTTGAAACTTTATACCCTTAAATTTGCACTGAAATTAGTTTCTTATAATCATATTAGGTTCCCTATTAAGAACAGTGGGATGACTTGTGCACAGAGATGTCCAGACATCTCTGATGACTGAAGGCCATGTGTTACAACATCAAGTTATTAATCATTTAGTTTTATATCAAAGCTGTGGAACTAATGTGTTATTTGAAAAAACATTCTGAACTTCTCTCAAATCCCAGAGGCAGATCTTAATTCAATTTCTTTGCTGTCCCAGTTTTCAAAGGGTACAAGTGCAAAATTAGTGATGTTGCTTCAAATGAAAACAACAGCCAAGACACTTCAAACGGAGTTGGGCACCTTCATTCATATTACAATTTTCTCCATGTTTATTCAAGCATATAAGATGTACTTTAAAAGGGAAGATAATTATCATTTAGAATTGAGAGCTGACCTTTTTTTTTGTTGATTTACTAAGCCTCAAAACTGAGTTACGTTTGTATCTCTCTTATTCTGCTGCTATTTTCTTCAGAACTGCTGAAATTAGAGCAATTACTAATCAGGTTCTTTGGGCATTAAAGGTTAAAACCTGGTATCTCAAGTGATTAGCCTCAGTTGCCATGTATTTTCACTGGAATTTTATATATGTATATTTATAAACCTCTTCAGCCTCACTAACATCAGAGAGGTTACACAAGCACACAGCACTACCTCCTGAGAGGTCCTTATGTTTTTTATCTCAATGTCTTCTAACGTTAAAGCATTTTTTTGAGGGGGGGATAAAATGTTCTGAAAACAGATCTGAAATGATGGTTTATGGCAGGAGAATTTTTATTTTTCCAGCCAAACTTGTCTAAAAGAAGTTAACTCACTTTTATGTAACAGCAAATCAATGAGGGTTGCAGTTATACTAATGCAGTATTATTTAATGGAGTGCATTCAAACAAAAAAGGAGAGCTGACTGAATCAGCTGTGAGCCAGCACCAGCTGAACATCACATTAAAAGCTGTGTAAGCTCATGTGCTCAAAAAATGGCCTTGTAGAGAGAAATCAGGCAAAACATCCCCTAAACCACATTCACTTGGAAACTGACATTTTCAGTGTGGATTTGGTCTCAATGATCTTAATGGCCTTTCCCAACCTGAATGATTCCATGGTAAGTACAATTAGTGCAGCGAGTGTCTGTTCTGTGGGGGGAAAGCAAATTAGTACTGGCTATTCTGGTCTTCATTCAATCTTTAATGTCTTGTTTCTCTCAGCTGTGAAAAGAAAAACAGCCATAATCACGTTTCCAGCCAACACTCTGCTGACCCATGATACAGGAAAAATGCAGAGGATTAGGAACGCTTTCCCTGGTTGCTCAGGCAACAGAAAGACATGGGAATATGAAAAGGTATTACCATCCTTTGTACAGAATCTCACTAGAGTTCTCAGACATGTTTATAATTTTCTATTTTTTGGTAATTTTCTAGTTTTCCTTCTTTCCCATTATCACATACTTAAAACATGAACATTATTTGTTTAGTCTGCTACCTAGAATGTGAAAATGTTAAACTTGAAAACATTTTATATGTCTTTTTCCTACATAAATAAAATACGTAGTTTTCTAAGAAGCTGTGGAAATTTTCAAAATTATGCACTGAAAAGTTTCTAGGTGGTATCCAAAACACAACTACTACTATCTCCCTTTAAAAATCCTCTAGTTTTGTGGCATCTCTTAAGAAAATAAAATAATCATTCCTTCATCTGCTTTTCTTTCCCACTTACATGTGCCATTACCTAACAAATAGTCCCCATAAAGTTGCAACTTCACAGACCTAATTAACTGTCAAAATAAACCTACAGAGAAAGATTGTTTCTGAAGGCTTTATTTTCCAAATTAAAAAGAGATGCTTGGAAATCAGAAATGAATGTAAGACTAGCAAGTAAATAGTATTTGAAGTTAGACATCTGTATGTAATCTGAGACAAGCACAAAAATTCCATCCATATATCTGTGTAAATTTTTATCATACAAACAGAAAATATATTTTTGGCTGGCTTGATTTGTGGAATTTTGGACCACTTAATGGCTGAGGAATCTTTATCACTCGGTTTTGTATTTTTAAGTATGTAAACTATACTTGCAATGAAAGGAATGTCCATGAATTATGTGTCAGTGTGAGTCATCCACCAGGCACTGCCTGCACCTCTCATGAGGTAATTTCTCCTTTGACTCACAGTGCCTGCCAGGGTCACACAGCCCCTCTCAGTTCTGGTGATGATTTTGAAGGATTCCAGCCTTGGCCTGAGTCACTGGCTCTGTCAAGCAGGTGTCCTTCAAACTCTTTTCAGGAAATGTCAGTAGGATTTCCTCCCACCTCTCCCTTCTGGTAGCTCATTTGTTCATTGAAACAGGTCCTCAGATGCCATGGGAGCATTGGGATGGTTGGTCTATACAGATACTCTTTCCACTACCAACCTGCTACATTTTCTACTGTCTGTTTTGAGTTCTGGGATGATACATACCACAAAAACCAAAGACACATACACCTCCAGGGTTCCTGGGCTTACAGAGTACCTGGTCCCCATGTTTGATGGGGTATTGGGTAATCCTTTTGCACAGTGTTCTGTCACTGTATGGGGTTGGTGAGTGAATGAATGAAACCAAAGGATGGAGCCCACACAGCAGCTGTTGGGATTGCTCTTGCAAATTCAGAGCACTCAGGGTAAGTATAAACCTACTGAGAAACCCAGAAACACAGTCCCTGAAACTGGATGTATACTCAGCAGAAAGAATGATGATGAAGAACCTTTATGTGCTATCCCTAAAACAAGTGAGACTGATGTTTGCAAAATCTATGTACCCTACTCAGTTATGCTCACAACTGTTCTTCTCACACCTATTTGTATTACATGTGTCCAGTGCCTCTTCATGGTTGTCCTCTGCTCAGACAGACAACTCCCAAAGGGCGTTTTAAATTATTCTTTAAAACTATCCCAGTCCCTTTTCAACAACCAGCAGACTGCTCAGTACATTCCTTTATTGTGAAGATGTTTTCTCCCTCAACTCCCTCAGCTGAGACAGAAAACTTCAGGTCTCCCTATCCCCTTGTGAAGGAGGGCAAGATGATTAACAAATACCCTGCATTCCCATTTTGAGCTCTGTCTGTATGGGACCTTTGCCTTAACAGATAACTTTGACTTTAGCAATGACTTTCTGAAAGAAAGCTCTCTAAATGTCTCCATAGATGTACTCAAATTTGTCTACAAGACAGAGCTTTTTAGACTTACCTGCCTCTCCATGTCCAGGGTTTCATATCGTCAGGAGGGCAGCCTGCTCCACCCACAGCCCTGAAACATCTCCCTGTGCACTCACCAACCTTAACCCTAACCAACACCTGGACAGTGACCCTGCACTGCAAAGCACCAAGCCTCATTTTACCCTGGCACAGGCAGTTCTGAACATCTGCAGCTCTCCAAGATGTTAATGGCAGCTGGAGAGAGCTTCTCTCCAACCTCTGCTCGAGATTATGCATGTGGCAGCCAGGTCAGGTTCAAAAGGACAGTGTTCCAGCTGCAGTTTGACAGATGCAGCTAAAACTCCCTTCTGCCTTAGCAAGAGGAAAAGATGAAGCCTAAATCTCATCAAGCTGTGTTTTTCAGGACAAAGTCAACAGAACATTACTGCATATCCCCCAGCCTAGCTCTTTACAAGCGTGCTGCTTAAGAAAACACTGCATTTCCAGGGAATTGAGGACACATGACAACAGTTCTATGCTCACTGTCCCTACCTAGGAGTGAAGCGAAGGGCTTTTACATGACCCAGACAGATACCAAAAGAAACCTTATCTTATCATCATGGACCATCTGCGCAGCTACAGCAAGCAAACATCAACACCATCCTATCAAAAAGCTGCAGTCACTGCAGGGTCATCCCCAGTGCTGCATGCCATGAGCTGCAACAGGGAGGCAGCCAAGCAACATGACATCATTGTGTCCAGTTCCCAGTGGAGAGATCAGAAAATTATGGAAATGTTGCAGTTTTCCCTTACTTGTGGGCTGCAAAACTGACCATTACTTAAGAAGAAAATTAGAGAGTACTGAAAACAGCCTGGCTAAACCAAACCAAAATAAGTCAGCAGCTACAGAAGAGGGGGGGAGTTGAGAACCACTGTATGTATTACAGAGGTCAAATATCTTCTCAATACTCTTCTCTAGTCCTGGGGACTCTGAGCTCTGATACAGAGTAGGCACTTGGCTCTTGGCACATGTCCCTTGGGATGGACTTTGGAATAATTGGCTGAACCTGCCTGATCACCATAGGTGTTGCAGTCCAAAGGTGTTATCACAACGAGCAGCTGCACCTGCACAATCAAGTGACTGTATTGATAAGCCATGGATCTGCAGATACTCCAGTTTCAACAGAGGCTGGAAAACTTCCTGCAGATCCATGCTCAAACTAATTTTTTTTGTGCAGCTGCTTGAGACTCCCAGTCTGTCACTATGGGAAGAGGCCTTAAATTCCCAGGCTGTGTTTGCTGCCAGCAGTGAGGAAGAGACAGCACTGATCAAATCCCAGGGAATTAAATAAGCAGGGGAAAAATTAAAAAAAAAGAGGCAGTGGCTCTTTGGAGGGGAAGCATCTGAGCAGAATTGTGTGTATAGGATGAGAAGTTTGTAGCTGCTCTGAACACAGGCAGACCCCCTGGTGCCCTGGAGCTGACACCATCCCAGCAGCCTTGCTCTGCTGGGTGCTCTGTGACTGCCCAGGGAAGCAGGACACAGCCAGAGTGAGACTGGTTAAGGTTTTGCTATGCTGACATTCAGTATTTCTGATCCTTTTGCTTAGGACTCACTTCCCAGTCAATTTTACCTTTTCCTTTGCCTCATCCATAATTAATGTACTAAACCCTGTGCTTGAAAAGACTAATGAGAAAGAATGAAACCCCTCCTCTCACAAGTGGAGAAATACAAGGGGAAAAAATAAAAACCAAACACCAGGTAAAATTCTCCCATTTACAGTTTCAACAAGAATATATTTGTCTTTTACTTTGGAAACTGTCTGAGGTGCTTCCCCTTTAATAGAACAAAGTCCAATGCCCATGGCACGGTGTCATCCTTATGTTGGCACATGGAGAGAGGTCCCACAGGCCAAAAGTTGGCCACCAGCAATGCAATGTGGAATGAATTTGGTGTCATCAAGGAGAGCTGAGTCCCAGCTACAGCTGCACCCATCGCTATAATGACATCCCACTTCTCTTCTTTGAATCCTTCCGTGCAATGGGACTGAAGGTCAAGATCTCCTTGTAAATGTGCTCTTGAAAAACAGAACAAAATAACCATGAATGTATGATTTTAGAGGACACAAAAGTTGGAGTGTTGGATGTGCAAAAAAAGGCATTCAGTGGCAGCTGAAAGAGACAAAGGAGAGAGACAAAAAAAGTCTGCCTGAAGAGCTGGAGGGATCTTTGCTGAATGCATAAAAACAAGAGATCTGTGCACTACCATTGAGGCATCAGCAGACAATCACAGCCTTAGCATCTGTACAGGAAAGAAAGAGGGGTAAGAAAGTCCCATGCTAGACAGGAACCTCAAAGAAAATAAACTTACTTTTCCACTCCTCTATTGAAAGCTTTTCATGTTCCAGAGAATCGTCATAGGAATGTTGTGCCTCTGTCTCCTCCTCGATGTCTCGGAACTGGTCGAAGTAGGGGTGAGCCAAGGCTTCTGTGGCTGTGAGGCGCTTTTCCACATCCAGCTGCAACATCTTGTCAAGCAGGTCCACAGCTGTAGAGGATGGGAACAGGGCTAAGCAAGGTGCAGGGGAGAACCCTGTGCATGAACCCTGCAAGTGTGGCTCTGGTATTTCCAGTGTTTCATCTCCACACCTGAACACTGACAAGATTCCTCAACCCAGCCAAGGCAGCAAGGAGCTCCCGTCAGTGGAGATGCAAAGTCTGCCCAACAGCAGCCTCAGGGAGCTCTTACTAACAAGAAGTTAAATTGTGCAGAAATAACAAATTAGACTAGAATAAGCCTTGCTGCACAGATTGGGTTGCAGAAACATGAGGAGTAAGCCAGTAACCTCAAGATATTTTTCAGTTTTAATAAATTTCTTTAATTCAGCCCTGAATCTCAAAGGAGTCTTAACATGAGTAATCTATATAGAAAAACTATACATCCCTGGTAAAGAGGAGGACAGAAAACTCAGCTGCTGACTAGTCTGCCAGCCCCATTCCCACTTGGTTTTAACATTTTAAGACTTTCTTCCATTCAGTTTCTAGAAGAGTTCTGCTTGCTCTCACCTCTAACCAACCTGAGAAGAGACCTCTTTTAAGAGATTCTTACTCTGAAAAGTTCACATCAGCTGTCTGTTAATTATTGCTAGCTCCAGGTATTCAAAAAAGAGGATCTACGCCGTACTTAAAAATAATAATTTAAAAAAAAGTAGTAAATGGCCAAGAGCAGCAGAACATCATCATTGTAATGCCAATAAAAGATAATTCTGCTTTTAGTTGATACATATTTTCCCTAAGGAAGGGCAGGGGCACAAACTGCAGGGGGAAAAAGTAGCAAGAAATGATGAGAAGAAGTAAAGTTGGGCTGTGGCAGTCAGCTTGCCTCCTTTCCAGCTGTGAAAATTCATGAGAAATGCTGAAGATAACTTACCCTGATGATTTGCTTTAGGGAAAAGCACAGACAAATCCTTCTTGGGGATTTTAGGGAGGGACTTGATATAATTCTTTGCCTGGAAGAGCAAGGAGAGCACAGTTACTGTAGGTGGACAGGTGTGAAATGCAGCTCTCAGTCTCATGGCTCCGATGAGCAAAGGCAAATGAAGAGCAAAGCATCCCAGATGTCCCATTTCAGCAAGCACTTTACAAGGAACTATTTTTATCAGTCAAGACAGAGAAATACTGTTTTAAGAGCCAAGCTGGAGAACAGAGAAGATTGGTGGTTTGATGGGGCATCAGGCACCTCCCATGGGAGTCCTAACACAGCAGCTCCCAGCACAGCACCAAGTCCATCAGATGTGCCACCAGCACAGAGAAATGATTTCCTAGCCCAGGGCAAAAGGCTGCTGCTGCCCTTCCCTGCTGCTGTAGAGGCAGCACCTCTTCCACGCCAAACACAAGTCAACCTCTTCCCCTGCCACCTCTGCCAGCAGGACAGGACCCAAATCCACAGGGAACTTCCTTACTGCTTTGTCCTCCAGCTTCTCCAAGAAGTCCTCTCCTGGGTGCCCTGTTACTTTCAGGATCTGGGTCAGCTGATCCAGGTCTGGCAAGCCGTGTTAAGATCACCCTTTGAGGAGCAAACCCTGGACACCCCCACCACAGCTCAGCCTGCCAGAGTACAATTAGCTCATGATACAAACCCACCACAGTCACACAAGTAGAGATTCATTATACTGGCAAAAAGGGCTCCAAGCCTTTCTTCCTGGTGTGGAAGCCAGGACACACATCCATGGGCTTGGAAGGATACGCAAAGCTTTGGGAATGGAGCTATGGCCACACAAGGTTGAACAGCTGATGAAGACCACCACAAAGGTGCGTTTCTGAGGTCTCCTGTTTTCCTCCCCAGAAAGACTGGTCCTTGTGATTACCTCCTGAAAAACCAGACTGACACCTATTCTTCTCAGTAGCCTCATTCGTTCAAACCCTTCCACACACACCAAGCATTATTACTCTGCTCAGAAAAAAGGTTCAGCTTGAAAGGATACAGTCTCTTCCTTTAAAGAGTGTTTTCCCAGTCAGCATTTCTGCCATGATACAGCCAATAGACCAGATATCCACTGTTCAGAGAGAAAAAGGAGGGAGGGAGGAAAAGGAAGAAAAAAATTAAAAAAAATAATTAAGAAGGCAGCAGTGGTTACTGGGGCTGTCGCTTTTGCTGTTGCTTGTAACAAACACTGATTTAAATTTCACTCCCTCCCACCCTCCTTTGTTCTTTCCATGCTGTTAAAAATATCTGCTTTCATAATTTCCAGCAAGCACTAGCTCTGGGAATTGTGCAACACCTCTGGGACCTGCTCTGCTCCAGGGAATACTGATGATAAAGAGGAAAAACAAGTGGACAATTCTGTAAGATTTGAGCCAGCAGGATCCCCCAGCTCATCACCAGGGAGTCACACTGCTGGGCAGGGCTGCTCACCTGTCTGATTGTAATGCATCCAGTTCAGGATGACTTCTGGGGCTCTGTACCACCGTGTGACCACGTAGCCAGTCATCTCAGCATCAGCCTGTCTGGCCAAACCAAAATCCAAGATCTGCAGTGCCAAGGAAGTGCCAAAGAAAGAATAAGGAGAAGGGAGGGCAGGGGAGAAAAGAGAAATTCTATGGGCAAGTGAGACTCTACTTCTATGAGAAAATGGAGTAGCTACAATCAAATAATAACAAAGTTCCAACTATACCACAGATACCCATGGGATGGTTCAAAGAATTAATATGTCTTAATTCCACTGTAAATTGCAAGCCAGCTGCAAACCCCATTGTCATAAGAAGACCCTGCTGAAAGGATCAGTGCTTTGTGCTCCCTGGAAGGTCACTGCCTTTCTTGAAGCTTATGTCTTGAGTCAATGTGCTTTATTGGAGTTGGTCTGTGACCTGGTGGTGAAGGCATGCTCCCAGGTCACCACAACTCACCCTTTCCTATAAGAGCACCTTGCAGGTGACACAGCATGGCCTCTCCCTCAATGCTGAAGATGAACAAGCTTGACCCAACCTTTATGGGCAGCAGAGCCACTCCCTGAAATATACATTACAGAAAATGCATGCTAGAGCACCACACCAGCCAGCAGCAAGCAAACCCCTCAGAGCAAGCCTGAAAATTACTTTGTCTGGAATTACAACCACAATGTCCATGAGAACCAAAGGGCAACTGCAGTTGAATCCAGATACCTTTCAGGGATCATTCACCTGCTGCAAGTATTGCTCAGCAGTGCTGAATTTCTCTAGGAAGTCATTACACACTGCCATCTATGAGGATTACAGTGACAGAAGGCTTGTTTGAAGTCTTGTGTCCTGATTCAGCAAGTGACATCAGCAGGGGAGTATTTCCCACTGCTGCCAAGAACACAACACCCCGAATGGAGGCTGGGGAGGAAAGAGGAAACATGCAGTGCCAATTTCCTGCTGGCAGAGCAGTTCCTCCATGAGCTGATGTGCTGCTAAGTGCTGCTTTGCAATGTACCTTCAGTTGGCAGTCTTCATTCACAGCCAGGTTACTTGGCTTCAGGTCCTACAACGGACAGGAGCAGGAAAATGGGATGTTCAAGTTGCAATACATCAACACAAGTCTCAGTTGAACCTCCCACCACACCCCAGGTTCAGTATGAATTCAGCAAATGATTGAATAAACACCATGCCTGTTATACTGTACAGCTTTGGATTACCATTTGATTACCATTTGAAACAGTTTCAATTCAAAAAGCATCATAAAATGCTTCTCAACTCATCAGAAAATACAGCGTTTTCTCAAAATGCTGCATAAATTAGCAAATCCAAATATATATAAGGTATAGGACGGAAAAGAGCAGGATGGAAAATAAGAGCAGACAGTGAAATGATGGTTAGGAGTTTATTAACTTTATACTGTGATTCTCAGACAAAAATCAGAATATAGCACACATGAACTTACCCTGTGGACAATGCCAGCTGAATGAATATACTGCAATAAAAAGAGGAGCCACAATGTGATCACCAGCAGACAAAATTTTCTCTTCTCCAGCAGAGAAATGAGAGCTACAAACAAGAACTTTCTGAGAACAAACATTTGCAGCCTTCTACTACCAGGTCCCTGGTCCCTAGAGCAGCAGTTTGCAAAGGAATTTCTGCCCCAAATTACTGACAGTATTTACAATGCTATTCCCAGTCTAAAGAAGATGCACAGAGCAGAAGAGGAGGGATGAAGCAATAGTTCCTTAGAGCAAGTAAAACAACAGCCTCAAACTATCAAAGTCATCAAGGTTACAGCAGATGACATGAAAGCATGGTTACTTTGGGTGTTCAAAAAAATAATCTCACCCCAAAAACATAAAATTGTGAAAACTGACTGCAGGTTTTTTAGCACACCGGTCAAACCTTCTGTGTGTTTTTCCCCCACTTTATTTAAACTCAAGGAAGCAGTGACCTGATTCAGGTGAACCCACTGATGCCTGAAAGCCACTGCTGTGACTCCAGATGAAGGATGTGAGAGGAGAGCTGGAAAGCTCTGTCTCTGCATCCCAGAGTTTGCAGTGATTGCTTTCAGCTCCCTCAAAGCCAGTTACAGAAACATAGTCCTTCCTTATGCTCCTGAATAGAAAATCATTCCCTCTGTGTTCTCCCCTGAGAGCCTCTGTGACAGGTTTGGAGAAGCTCCTGCTGCTGCCAGTCTTTCCCTCTCTCAGCAGTTTTGCTGAGGGTTTGGGCAAGGCAAAGAGAAGCAAGTGCTGTCATGGAAAAACCATCCCAAGGCCTGTGGCTGCTGATTACTTCGATACCCGACTGACTGATGTGAGGAAACACTTATTTTATTGATGTGTGCTGCAACAGGAATGGTTCAACAACCAATGCCTGTTCTGAGGGGATGCCATAAACTCCTCACATCCTCCTGTATTGGAGTAGCATTGGAGGGGAGTTTAGTTAGGCTCAGCCTAGAAGTGACACACAGAGGAGACACAGGGAGTCACTAAGCTCCTCCAGACCCACCTACCTTCAGCCCTTTCAGCATTTGGTAGACCAGGTACTGGATCTTTTCGTCACTGAATTCATGTCCCATGATCTTTTGTAAATCTGTCCGCATGTATGGCATCACCAGGTAGCTAAAAGGCAGTAAGATAAGGCCCTGAGTCTGGAAGAAAAATGCAGGAGACCAGGCTAGCCTTGTTCTCACTTGGTTTGGTTTTTCTGGCTGTGTAACTCACTGTAAGGAAGATGAGTTGCTGTGACAGTGTTCCTGGCTAACTAGCACATCCTGCAGAGAAGCTGGAATTTCAACCTGTTCTGAAAATTGCTCTTTCTCCTCCCCTGAAATCAGATATCTGATGTCAAGTAAGAACAAGGATCTTCAGGATCCTGAAGTAGTTTAGACCTCAAGTGAAGTTCAATTTTGGACAGCCTTTCACCACCCAGGAGCTGAAACATCTTACACAGCAAAGCAGCTGCATTGGCCCCCAAATCTGTCATTGTAATGTTCTCCAGCCCTGGCTCAGAAGACAACATCCAACTTCCTTCAGTGCCTGCCTGCTGAGGCTGCTAATTAATTGATGGTCTTCCTGCAGGAACAGCTCTGAGAGCCTTCAACTCCTCTTCCTGCAGATGCTAACACTCAGCAGTCAGCCAAACCCCAAACCCAGGCACACTCTGCTCATCTGCAGTGATGGGGAAGGGAAAAGGACTTGTCCAACCTGACCATGAAGACAGAGGGAAAATGCCAAAAAAATTAATTAAGAAGAGCCAGAATCAAGAGGAAAAGAAGGACAGATATTTCAAATTGTAAGTTTAATTGCCCTGAGGCCTGATGAACAATACTTCTCCCATTCTGAGTACAGCCCCTTAGCTCAGCAGTCACACAGTGCATGGATCACCCGTGTGATGCACCATGGAATGTAACACATCCTCATTGCCCAGGTTGGTCTGTGCATGCTGTGGTGTCCCAGCTGTGAGCAGGGGTGGGGTCTGGTTATGTGTTCTGGGTGTGTCACCCATGGGAGCTGATGTGTGCTCTGCATTGTTTGGGGATGCCTGGATTCAAGTCTGGTCCCCTTGCACCTCAACCCTCTCTGTTACACTGCTGCTAAGACACAGCTGTCTTGGAAAAGTTAAGGCTACATAGAGCAAACAACTCTAGACTTACAAGTCCTGGAACCCCTGGTAGGAAGCAGTGGAGGTGAAGACATCAAGCAGCCCAATGACCTGAGGAAGGAGAGAAGCCCACATTTAAATCTTGAAAACATTTTCTGTGCACATGGCACCCATCAGCTCTCCACTGGTACATGCACATGGGTGAACACAGAGAATTCCATCTGAGCAACCCATGGACTTCCCTCTGATGCTGCACAAATGGTTTCCCCCTTACTAATACCTGGGCTCACCCATTACACACCTGCTCCAGCCTGGGAACAGCAAACAGGTCACAGGTAAACCCTGAGACTGCCTGCACATACCAAATGTCAATTAAAACACATGTGATGCCACCAAAAAGACCTTGCTCCCAGGTGGCAAGGAAACACGCCTTGTGTCAGCAGGAAGAGGAGAAATCAGCACTCACATTCTCATGCTGCATTTGCTTCAACAGCATCAGCTCTCTGTAGGCTCTCTTGGCAAAGATCTCTGACTGGAATGGGCGGCACAGCTTCTTGATGGCCACTTTCTCCCCCGTCTTCTTGTCTATGGCTGAACTGCAGTGGGCAAAAAAAACCACATTCTGATGTCAGCAGTATGTTTTAACAGATTCTGTGACCCCACAGGTCATGTCCTAGAGAAGAGTTAATTCCTGTGCTTGCAGAAGGACAGCAGAGAAAGGTCCTTTGAGGAGCTCAGTGGGGCTCTGAGATGTTGCCCTGTGTGGCTTTGGGCAGCAGACCACATCCTGAGGTGAGACACCAAGAAAAGCATCTGTGCCTCATCCTTATTCCCTTGAACCTGCAGAAATGAGCTGGAGGTAACAGAGCTGAGAGCAAAGGGAAACACAAATAAAGGTCAGAATTGGTTCTAACTCTGCCTTCTCCTTCCCTAATGCATGGAGATAAGGGAATAAAGATATGGAAATTTCTGCTTTGCCATCTGCTTGGAGGTTGTTGTGTTTTAGGGCAGGCCAGCTGCCTTCACTGTATTCTGGAGCAACGACAGTGGATGTCACGTTGAAAATGCTGCTGCAATTAATCCTGCTGTGTTCAGAATCCTTGATTACACATCTGCTTCTGTGTAAGAGCAGGTCTGGCTGAAAGTGAGACTCTTCTATAAAGCTGATGAAAACCTGGTACAGCAGCCATTGCTACAGACATGCTGTGCTCTTCCTGCTGGTCACATTGGACATGGCAACCCTGTGACACTTCCTCTTCCTCTGGAGAATCCTTGCTCAGATTGCCAAGGAGGGAAGGGAGGTCCTCAGACAGACAGCTGTAATTCAGGGTTCCCAGTGGTGTTTTCCAGCCCCCTCCTTGACCCCTCTCAAGAGGCAAACGGATGAAAAAAAGAGTTTTCCTTGCTAAATCCGACTCTGAATTCCCAGAGTAGTTCCCACTGCTTCAGAAACCCCTATCCCATCTCCCACAGGAATGGAAGAGCTGTAAATCATCACGTTCAATCCCATGGCTTCCAGCTGCATCCTCCAGCCTTGCACTGACAAATATTGAGTCAGGAGAAGCAAAGGAAGTGCAGGAACAGCTACACAAGGCAGCTGAAGCACTGAAGATGCTACAGGGTGTCCTAGGAGGACTCTTAGTGAGGTTTTGTCTCAGTTTCAGGACTTCAGCAGATGTCAGCAGAGTAAAATTTTACCACACAAAATTTTTTGAGAAGCCAGGAAAATAAAAGGAAGGGACTCAGACCAGGGAGTCAAACTGCAGAATCCAAGGCAGATTTCCTGATCTGAGGGTATCCCTCCCTCAGACCTAAGGTTCCTGCTGACCTAAGAGACTCTAACCCCAGCACCCAACACAGGAGAGCTGCTGGTGGAGCTTCAGCCTACACAGCACAGACAGCACTGGGTACAGCCTTGCCATAATCACAGTTGGAGGGGTCAGAAGATTCTTCTTTCACAATCACACTCAGCTGGAAGCCAAATCACTACAGATTTTGGCAAATTAATAAAGGCAGAAACAAGCCTTTGCTGTTTCTCATGAGATACCTTCTCAGCTGCTCAGGGTGTAAAAGCCACTGCTGCATAACACTGCAATAGGAAATTTTCCCAGCAATTCCCAGCAGAGGACAGCAAATCCTAACTCCACATTTTCTGCCTCAGCTTTGTACAGGAATCAGCATCAAGTCCTCTGCTGAGCTCTGTCCATTCAAAACCACCACGCATCCCCGGGCTGCTTCAATACCCTTCTCACTCTCCCTCCTTGGGAGCTCCGGAGCAGTCGAGAGTTTTACAGGGACCAGTAAAGATTACTTTCGATGTTTGTTTTCTTTGGATGCGCAAGAAAACTTTGAAGGATTTCTCTCTTATTTTTTTTTATCCTGTCTTTATTTTACTTCCTGATTTTCTCTGTGATAAAAATCAGAGAACACTGTACAAATATAAATTAAAAGTCAAGTCTAATCTTGCCTGATTTTGCAGGACTTAAGAATCTAAGAAGCATGAACACATCTGGGCAGCCAAGTGGGTGTCCCTCTGTAAATTGGAAGCTGGGGGAAAAGGACAAAACCTGGGCACCAGGGTTTCAGGATTAGTGCCAGTGGCAGGTGAGACTTTGCCCAATACTTATGAAAATGGACACACCTTTCTTTTTTTTTTCCATTTATTTTTAGCTCAGCATGTTATGAAATAAGGGCTCTGTTCAGATTCTATCAATGGACTGTTTCATATTTAACGTTTCAGAGTTGCCCATGTCTGGTTCATCAGTGTGAAGCCAGCAATGTTTGACTTGTGCTTGCTCTTGCTTCAGGCACCTCTGCTCGGCTGAATAATTAACAGCAGCTCCTGCTGCTCTCTTGTAGGCTGGGGTTTATCAGCCATGAAGAAGTCCCAGTCTGTTAGTGATCCTGATTTGCGATAATTTCTATCCACTTTATGACTTCAAACTGGAAACAATATCAAGGTGGGGTTTGTATTGCCCAGCTGCTTCCCCGAGGCAGCCCAGCATCAGCAAGGACAGCCTGTTCCAGCTCCGACCTCTGTAAACACCGACAGATCTCCTCCAGATACCCAGGTATTCCCCCGCCTCCTACCTGTGCTACCAGACAGGAACCTCAAGGAATGCTCGAGTCCCAAGCAGCTCAAACTGTGCCCGGCCCCGGAGCCAAGGCGAAGCTCGGCTGCCCTGCCCGGTCCCCTCTCTGCCCACCCGGGCTCACCAAAGGGGGAACTCTCCAAGCGAGCGAGTACCCAGCCTGCGCTGGAGCAGGAGACAGCCGGCCCCCATCACACATGCAAATGTCCTTCCTCAATGGAGAAATGCAGCCCAGCCCCTCCTCGCCTCCCCCTGCACGGGACTCCAAAGTCCCCCAGCCCGCGGGTGTGAGCAGGACCCCACTCACCACACGGAGCCGTAGGCCCCGGAGCCCAGCGGGTGGAGGGACGTGTATCTCCTGGGCAGCTCCCAGAGCGTGTTGTTCACCTCCTGTCTGTAAAAGCCTCTTCTCCTTGCGATGTTCATCGCCCGACGGGTGTGGGACAGCCACCCCCCCAGAGTAATGGAGTACGGGAGGGCTTCTGGGGTGAGAGCGGGACAAGGCTTCCTGCGCTGGTAAAAAACGCTCTAGCAAGTTTCCTTCTCTGTTTTCAGCTGTTGCGATCGTGAAAGGACATGTCTTTGGGCCCTCCTCCCTCCGCCTCCACATTGGCAGAGGTGAGGCATCAGGTTTCCTGACACGCCTCGGTGCTGTGCTGGTGCCTCTGGGCTGTGCTGCAGGAGGGGAGCACCGGCCCTGCTCGGGAACGCCTCTGTCATCTACAGCTCCGGCTCTGCTGCTCCATCAGCCGAGAAATATCCTCACGGGGCTCGGACAGGGGCTCGTGAAATACCTGCTCCAAACACGAGGATGAGTAAGAGCTCGTCGAGTCGGGGAATTCGAGGTACAAGCCACAGCACCGCGTCAGACACGCAGGGACATCCTCGTTTCAAAGCCCGTGGACAGACAGCTCCAGGACACCACGGGGTCACAGCGATAGCGATTTTCTCCTAAGCCCGGCTTCCCAGCAGCGTAGGGAGGTGCTGAAAGTCGGCTGAGGTTCTCCAAGTGACTGCTGCGAGGGGTTTCAGGAGCAGCTGTGAGATGGGAACGTCCCGAGATCGGTTCGTGCCCTGGGCTTTGCTGGGCGCGGTTTCGTATCCTGCAGCCGCTTTCAGCCTCTCGTGGCTCTTCTTGGACAAAGCCAAGCCCGTACTCAGTGCCGTATCTGTGCCCAGACAGCCCAGCACTCCCAGCCATTCCTGATGAGCAGAGAGCACCTCAGCATTTCGCTGCAGCATGAGGAGGCTCAGGTGGGGCTCCCACACAGGAGACGCATCCTCCCCACCCACTCCCCAAAGGAAGTGACTAAGCCGAGCCTTACCAAGCCAGCCTAGCTGCTTGCACAGTGTCCTAGCCCAGCAGCCCTCCACCCTGGCCAGAGCCTCTGCTCCTTCCATACAGGTCACCTGTAAAGGTGTCCCGACAAGAAAAGCACAATCAGCAGGGCAGGGAAAATTCACTGTGTGTGCTTTCTGTGCAAACCATGACATTTTGCCCCTCATACTCCTCAAGCAGCCCCATCAGAGCCTGCTGTTCATAAACACCAACAGGGACAAGGCACTATGGCAGTGTCTGTGTCCATCAGCCCTGGCTGCAGCAGCAGCAGAGCCCGGAAATAAGCCACGGCTTACCTGGCTCTGTAAATAAACCTGTGATCAAGAGGTGTCACAGCAAAAGCTCCTGATGCTTAAGCAAACGTGTAACTTCTCGGTTATTTGATGAACACAAGCCTTGCCCAGCTGCTGGTGCACACGCAGGAAATCAGTTCCCAATTAGGGAGTCCTGAATAGCTGGGGCATGTCTGGGCTGTACTGAGATGAGTTAAGTTCAGTGACTAAATCAAACAGGAAACTTTAGAATCATGGAAAGCTTTAGGTTGGAAAAGACCTTCAAGGTCAAGTCTAACTGTGAGCCCAACTCTGCTAAGTCCACAAAAAAAAGTGGTGGGATGATGCAAAAATCCTTCTCCAGGCACTCTCTACAGTGCAGCTGGGGGTGAAAATGGACAATAATTTGCATGTGTTGCACACTGGCTGTTAAGCTTCATGAGTTAAGTAATTTGATTTTATAGTTTATTTTTTCCCCCCACTTCAGTTCTCACTGATTCTAGAGATTTTTTGCTGATCAGGATATTGTAACAGCACATTCTGGAATTTTAAGTCTTTGCTGTGAGAGACTGGTTTTCTCCCAGAAAACAACACACAACTGGTCCTGTATGGGGTTTTTTTCCCCCTCTCCTCCAGCTAGCAGACAGAAAAAGTGAACAGGAAGGGTCATGGAGCTGAGAGAACACCCCCAGCACTGTTCTTTATCCAGCACCACCTCCCTTGGTTCATCAGGGCCTAGAACTTCAGTGATTGTGGGTTGTGAGTGAAGAACAGCTCTGGTCAAGCCAAGTTCTTCTGAGGGAGTGACACTGATACACAAGAGAAGCTGGAAAAGCTCCACTGTGGTGATCCTTCCACCACCACTGAGATGGCAGCTGAAGAGGAAAAAATAAATAATTTTTAAACAGCAAACAAGCACAACCCAGGAGGGTCCCAGCTCCAGGGAAGCAGCACGACTACTAGTGTTGAATTATTAGTGTTGAATTGTTAGTGTTGAATTAGTGCTGCCCTGCACTAAACAGAAAATAAAAGCCTGGGGGTTTGGTTTCTGTGTCCAGTACTCATGGTCTAACTCCAGATATTTTTGTAGCAAAAAATTCTCTTGGGACAAACATGGACAAGAAGTCCCCAAGGCAGCAGAGTCAGCCAGCAAGGAATGGCCTTGTCCCCTCCCAGCCCTCACACCCAGGATCCAGCACAGCAGAGAAATTCACACCATGCTAAAACTCAGCACTTCAGTGCAAGAGGTTTCCAAGTACCAGCAGTGCAGTAAATCTGAAAAATAGAGTTTATTTTTAACCAGTGGTATTGTGACATCTTATCTGGCATAACCAATTACAGCAAAATCCATGGATAGAAACAAAATAGCAGATCTCTGCTTTTGGGTGCAGTGTCCTGCCCAGGCAGCTGAGCACAGCAGGGCACTGGCAGCAGGGAGTTTGTGCCCCAGGGGCTCCCTCAGGACAGACTCCAGTGAACCATTCACACTCACACATACAGACACACCCACACACACAACACCAATAGCAATATTTCCACATGAAATCACACTGTAGCATCTACACATAAAATGGCTGATAAAAATAATCTTGCTGTAGGTTTACATAGTATATCTACATTTTCATTCGAATACCCAGACTGCTGGCCCATCAGAAAAGGGAGATTTTTTTGTCTTGATTTTGTTGGGCTGTGGAGAGTTTTATCCTAGAGCACAACAGAGCTGCTCTCTTCATCCCAGCCCAGACCTTTATTGAACATTTGGCCTGAGGAGATCTCTGGGAAGTAGCCTGGGAAGAATCAATGGCTTTGTCATCCACGTCCCATCCCTTTGTGCTGCCTCTTCAAACATGGGATAAAAACACTATAAAAACACTCTGTGCCCCACAGGTAACAAGAATACAAAATACCGCAAAAGCCTTTCTCCTCACATACACGGGTACATTGCCCACACAGGATGCCTACAACAAATTAAGGTCTAAAAATGTTTCCTCAAACATTTGCCCTCAAACTGGGCTCCTGAGCTCCCCAGCTACAGATGGAGCACACAAACATGCGGAGAAACCTCCCTCCTGTCAGTCTCTAACTCTGGGCACTTCACTCATGTAGAGTCCTGGAAAATACAGAATATTTGAACCATGTTTGTATTCAAACATACTCCCTTGTCAGTTTCCTAGGGCAGAGATCAACCTGCTAAGAAATAGCCAAGAAGCTCTTATGTGAGAGGATAAAAAAACCTTCTAGTAAATGTTAGTTTCATGTATATAAATATTTGTATTTATAGATATAGACAGTGAAAGGGTGATTGGGTGTTTATGCATGCTTATTTCTTTGCTTTGGGTTCCAATACTTCCAAAAAGAAAAATCAGGAAATAAGTTCTGGTACAAGATACTGCAGTCATTTCTTTAAGAACATTTGTTACACTTGATCTCACAAGAAACCTTTCAGCCCAAGCTCTCCTCCTCTGCAGAGAGGTGGTCAGAACAAAGAAAAAGGTGCATGTTTCTCTGTTGTTGGACATGACATCCTTCCCTCTTTGAAGCCTCTAGGATGGCAGGTATTTCACAAGGAGCTGCAGCACAGGAGGAAGGATGCTGTGATTTTATGGCACTGCCTGAGGCACTCAGTAAACATTTCACTGTCGACTGAACTGCCCCCAGTGCCATCCCCAAAAAGTAAGGACAAAAATCAAGCAGCTCTACATTCACATACAGCTACAACATGCAAAAACACACTACCTTGTAGGGAACAGAATACACAAACGTCTGGCTAGCAAGGATCTTCCCCAACCTCTGGCTATTGGGAGATAATGCTCAGAAGCCTCAGAACAAGAGGAGGAAGAAGGGGAAAAACACAGGAATACACAATCCAGGGGTTGAAATTGTTGCCTCGAAGTTATTTCCCATTTACATTGAGTTCGTGCCTGGCTACCTGGGAGCCTTCACCCTCAATAACAGTGGGTCAGATTTCTACCCCAGACTTCTTTTCCCCTCTCTGCCCATTCATTTAAGGCACAAACATATTTACAGTTTCAAACAACATCTTTTTGTGTTCCAAGGATCATACACTGGAAGGCCTCTACACTGCTGTACCAGGAAGATCTGGATGTAAATCAGACACCTGGTATTGAACAAGGACATTCCTCAATCCCATCTTCAGTCCTGAAGGAAACCGAGGAATCTCTAAGCTTATAAACCAACTTTCATTCTTTTTGAGGTTACTCAGTTGTAGGAAAATTGATAAATGGCAACGATTGCAACCAAATCTTTAACTGTCACCTTCCTACCTCACCCCAGCAGTGCAGACTGGTGGTGGACTGTTACTCTGGAAGAACTAAGTGCAGTCAGAACAGGTCTCCAGAGGCTTGCCCCAGGCTGTACACAGAATACAAGAGCATGCAGCATGTTTACATAGACTCAGCTTCCTTCCCTCCCCCCTCCCTCCCCAGTTCAACACACACAAAACCCCTCCACTAAGGAGAATATTGTTGTGATGAGGCACTTGAATGATAATTGGAGAGTCCCTATGAAAAGGCCTTCCCTTCACAGTGAAGTGGGACAAAGAGAAGAGAGCAGTTTCTCAGGACTCCATCTCCTCTTGGTCAAGCGGTGGTGGCACAAAGCTGATTACTTCATCATAAGTCAGGCCTGGGGGGAGAAGTGGGACAGAAACTTAGCATCAGGACTGTTATAGCACCACCAGACACCTCTTCATGCAAGAAAACCTGAAACAATCTCCAATATTCTAACACTATTTTAAACAAAAAGTATTGCTTAATTAAGACAAAGAAGAGAAGAACGCTTACACCGCTCTCAGAGACCAACATACACAATAAATGATACTTCCAGGGCACTGAGAGATGTGAGTAGTTTGAACAGAAAGATATGTTTGTGTGGTCCTAGCAGTAATTAGTTACCAGGGACTATGCTAAATATTGCACAGCATGTGGCAGTTTCACTCAGTGGAACAACAGGATCGACAGCATGCCCACGTTTTTATCACTT